TTCACAGAACGAATTGTTAGCAGAAGATTCAAACAATATAAATAATGCAAAAAGCTCTCGACCTCCCACCAGTCTGTTCCCAGAGGTAGTGGCTATAATCTGGTGTTCTGGATAATAATGTTCAACCATTAGATTTTTTTCCATACGTTCACATACAAAGATGTATATACATACTTTTGTTTCATGTTTTAACAACATTTGAATGATAGTATACTGTCAATATTATTTTTAAAACTTAGTTTTTAAAAGAAGTGCTTTGTCTTAGAGATATTTCTATGTCAGTACATACAGGTCTACTTCATTCATTTACTCTATTGTAGGTTATGTCAGAGTATGGCTGTACCACAGTTGATCGAACCCTGTTTTTACTGAGGAGCATTTGTTTCCAGTTTTTGGCGACTGCTTCCTTTATACACTTCTTGTGCGTGTGTGTAAACCCTTCTTTAGGGAGACACAACAGTGGCTTCACTAGGTTTTAGGGACTTCACATTGAAAATATTAATGGATGCTGTCAAAGGTGCTCCATATGGGGTTCACCATATATATATACACACATACATATATATTAATATTAATTTTTAAAAAATTTTTTGAGACACAGCCTTGCTCTGTTGCCAAGGCTGGAGTGCAATGGCACAGTCTTGGCTCACTGCAACCTCCACCTCCTGGGTTCCAGCAATTCTCCTACCTCAGCCTCCCGAGTAGCTGGGATTACAAGTGCCTGCCACCATGCCCGGCTAATTTTTGTATTTTCCGTAGCGATGGGGTTTCACCATATTGGGCAGGCTGGTCTCTTGACCAGGCTGGCCTAGAACTCCTGTCCTCAAGTGATCTGCCTGCCTCGGCCTCCCCAAGTGCTGAGATTACAGGCGTGAGCCACCGCTCCCAGCCCACCACTTTATATTTTTACCACCAAAGGCAGAGCTCATCACATCCTTATAAACCCTAGGTGTTATCAACCTTTTAACTTTTTACTAGTTTGATTTTTTAAATGGTACCTCATTTTGTATCCCTCCTCCCTGGTTACTACAAGACTAAACATATTTTGTATTGTGAGATGTCTATTAATGTCCTGAACCCAACTTTCCATTGACTTGTTGATTTTCTTATTGATTTGGGGGATATTTTTATATTCTGTCTATTAACCTTTGTTATGTAAGCCACGCCTTTTTTTAAAACTGTGCTCATGGTGCCTTTTTTATACAAAACTTAAAATTTTTGAGGTAGTCAAATTTATTAATCTTTTCCTAGATGGTTTTTGAATAAAAAATCTGGTATAAAAAAGTCTTCTATAATTGGAAGCTATCTATAGTCATATCTATCTCTAACATTTCATATTTATTTAGCTTGTTATTTATTTATTTTTATTATTTGTTTGAGATGGAATCTCGCTCTGTCTCCTAGGCTGGAGTGCAGTGGTGCCAACTTGGCTCACTACAACCTCCACCTCCTGGGTTCAAGCAATTCTCCTGCCTCAGCCTTCCGAGTAGCTAGGATTACAGGTACCTGCCATCATGCTTGGCTAATTTTTTGTATTTTTAGTAGAGACAGGGTATCACCATGTTGGTCAGGCTGGTCTCAAACTCCTGACCTCAAGTGATTCGCCTGCCTTGGCCTCCCAAAGTGCTGGGATTACAGGCGTGAGCCACTGCGCCCAGCCTATTTAGCTTTTTAGTTCATCTGGAGTTTACTCTTGTGAATGGCATATCATAGGGTGCTATTGTTTTCTTGCTTCCTGTAACTCCTGACTCTGACTTCTCACTGAAGTAATATCATTCTCTAAAGGCAGACTGAAACTCTTTCCTTCAGTCTGCCTTAGTTCTCCAAACAATGGATGTGTTTTTTCCCTAAGGCTCCACTCCAGGCGAGAGAAGGAGAGCAAATATATGGAGAAAATAATAGTGCAAGGCAGGAGGAACTGCGTTGCAAAGACTGGTCCAGATAAAATGGCAGAGAGGGAAAGAGTACTTTCAGCGGAGCAGTTTGGGAAGCCATCTCAAAGCAGGGGGTGCTTGAATTGTGAGGGGAATGGAAAGTTGTTTAGTTTAATTAGAATGTATATTACAGGCTAAAAGAGGTTGGACAGGCTATGATTGCAGGGGTCGGCATCCTACAGTTCACAGGCCAAATCTGGCTGCTACCTGTTTCCATACAAGGTACAAACTAATAATGGTTTCCACATGTTTAAATGGTAGAAAAAATGAAAAGAAGAGTAATAGTTTATGATGTACAAGTTATATGCGATTCAAATTTCAGTGCTGATAGAGTTTTGTTGGAACACAGCCACATTATTTGGCTGAGGCTGCTTTCGCACTGCAGTGGCAGAATTAAGTACTTGTGACAGAGACCAAATGGCCCGCAGAGCTGAGAAAATGTATTCTCCGAATCTTTACAGAAAAAGTTTGCTGACCCATGATATAGGGACTTGGACGCCAGGTTTAGGAGTGTGGCTCTTATGTGCTGGGCAATGAGGTAGGACACATTATGGTTGGTGGTGCGTTTAAGAAGGAGGATGCTGTTGTGGTCTGGAGATCTGCAGGTGAGAGTGGGGCAGGGAGGTGCTACAGGTAGCCTGGGAAACAGTCCAAGTAACAAGTAATAGTTTCAACTCTAGAAGTGGGAAGAGAAGAGGGGGAATGTGAACGATTCAGTCATTCGTCAAGGCTTACTGCGGTCTGCATACAGTTCTGGGTGCCGAAAGGTCTTATGAAGGTAGAAATGGCAGCTCTGAGGGATATGAGTACTATTATTAGTTTGCTAGGACTGTCGTTGTACCACAAACTGGGAGGCTTAAACAACAGAAATGTATTATCTCACAATTCTGGAGGCCGTTAACCTAAGATCAAGGTGACGGCAGGGCCATGCCCCCTCTGAAGGAGTCAGGGAAGGATCTGGTCCAGGACCGTCTCTCAGCTTCGAACAGTTCCTTGATTTGTGGCAGCATAGCTCCAGTCTTCACATGGACACCCCCCAATGTGCACGTCTCTGTGTCCAAATTTCCCCCTTTTAGAAGGACACCAGACGTAGTGGATTAGGGGCCCACCCTACTTCAGTATGACATCGTAATTAATTACATTTGCAATGACCTTATTTCCAAATGAGGTCACATTCCAAGATACTGGGGGTCTAGGACTTCAACATATAAATTTTGGGGGAATGCAATTCAACCCCTAACAGTTTGGCATAAAGTGGTATTGAAGGGACTCCTCCCCTTCCCCTACCTTCTGCCCCCGCCCATAGCATGGAAGGAATTTCCACTGAGCCTCCTCTGTCCACTTCTGGTACCTCTCACTAAGCCCCTTGCTCAGCCTCCCACAGGAGGAAAGGTTTATTTGGCGGGTCAGTGCCGACCTTTCTGCACCTGTCTGCTGGTGGGCTGGTACTGTGGCTGTGCTTGTGGGTATAGCTCTCCTTTTCTGCCCAGTCTTCCTGCTCCCTTGAGAGAGCCACCTCAAGGCCAGCCCACTGCACATCCTCTGGCTCCAGCTCCTTGCCCATGTGCCTGACTGGGAAAGGGCATTCCAGGGCCTTCCTGCAGCTCTAGCCACACCTGGCTCTCCTGGCAGAGACACCTGAGTGGGCAGCATGGGTTTTGTGTTCAGGGAATTACTCTTCGGATTTGACCTGGTAGTGTGGATCACATGGATTATCAACATTTATGAAAACATATTTATGAGAATATGGTGAGCAATAGCACCATCAGTGAAGAGGCATTGAGAAGAAAAGACAGTTTTTTTTTTTAAAACAAAGTTCACTTTATTACGTTAATTTTACATACTAAGATAATACGAAATGCAGACTTGTTTAAATTCTCTTGCTGATTCTCTTGAAGACAATGTCGCCCAATGTCATGGTCTGAAAGCCAGAAAAGAAATTATGAAGTGTTCATCTGATGTTGTATTGTAAAAAACAAAATCAAGCCTAAAAAACAGCACCAAATATGTTGGCATATGAAACAATTCAAAAATTCATCTGGTTTCCTGCAGGACTGGAGGAAGGGTTGGCAATGTTTTCCAAAATCCTATGCCAAGTCTTTATCACTTCTCCTCCTCACCTGGAAAGTCCTCCTGCCATTGACTCAATTCTTTTCTACATCAATGACTGTTATAGCAAGACCATCCAAACTAGCCCAATCCAATCTCTCAAAGTTTCATTGAGTACCTACTATGCACCAAATACATGTTGAGCACCAAGGATACATGCACATGGACACAACTGGGCGCACAGCCTGGAAGGCAGTGGGTAGTGCATAACTGTACCCCTGGAGCTGTGAAGCTTTATAAAAACAGTGGATGCATCAGCTTTTGAGTTTTTAAGGATGTTCCCTCCACCCCTGCCAGTTCTCTTGAATAAGACTGCTGGAATGACATACCATGTCATCAGGGTGAAAAGGAGCCCCTTAGCTTCAGCAGCAATGCAATGGTTGCTGCTTGATGGGTTCAAGCCCTGGATTTACCATTTATTAGCTGATGACTTGGATAGGTCAACCTGTCTATTGAATCCCTCATCCAGCCTCCCTCGAAGGAGACAGGAGGATTAGGTGAGATGGAGTCTATCAAAGGGCGTTGGCCAGGACTTACTGCAGGACGGCTCATCTCCTGCTCCCCTGCCCTCCTGGGAATGTGCTGGGGTGGAGGGGGAAACTGCAGATTGGGTGGGTAATGCTCACACTCTCTCTAGTTTAAGAATTTTTCCGGCCGGGCGCGGTGGCTCACGCCTGTAATCCCAGCACTTTGGGAGGCCGAGGCGGGCGGATCACGAGGTCAGGAGATCGAGACCATCCTGGCTAACACGGTGAAACCCCATCTCTGCTAAAAATACAAAAAATTAGCCGGGCGTGGTGGTGGGCGCCTGTAGTCCCAGCTACTCGGGAGGCTGAGACAGGAGAATGGCGTGAACCCGGGAGGCGGAGCTTGCAGTGAGCCGAGATGGTGCCACTGCACTCCGGCCTGGGCGATGAGCAAGACTCCATCTCAAAAAAAAAAAAAAGAATTTTTCCATTTGAACAGAGTGATGACAGCCTCCTGAGGCAGTGTTCTGTTGTATGTGACTCCTTAAAGCATATACTGGGGGCAAAGAAGAGTCAGGGGGACATACCTGCGGGAGAAACACTGCACTATTCCTCCCCTACCCCCAAATAGGGTATAGGATTGGGCTGGGCAGCCAGGCACCAAGGCTGACTGCATAACCGGACTGTGCCAGGTCTTGTCAGGTGCCATAATATCACCATGCAATGGGATGTGTTTATAAACGCTAAATGGGCAAAGGCATTTATGAAGCACTGTGGGCATGCCAGGGCAGGTGGAGGCTCTGTGGCGCTGCTGGTTAGTGTGAGCAGAAAGGATTAGTGATAATATGGTATAAAGTGCCTGGGGACATTGTGGATCCGGCATAAGGGCTGGGCATACTGACCACAGGAAGAAGTTTAGGGGTTGGAGGGTGGAGGGTGGCATTAGGGTATGTGAACCACTCCCCATGCTTCACCTCCCCTCTCCCTCAAGCACGGGAAGCCCCAGGCTCAGAGCTACTACCCCACTTACACGGTGATTATGTCGCCGTTGAGTTCGGTCACAGACTTGATGTTTTGAACGTGTCAACCAGTTTATGTACCTTCCAACTGAACCACTGTCTGCAGGGACAGAGAGAGGGGCCTGGAGGGAAAGGGTGTGGGGGCAAGCGAGCCTTGAATGAAGTTGCTTCTTCTGGCACAGGTCTCAGGTCATAAACGAAATGTTCTGGTTCCTATGATTCCAAGCTTCGCAGTTCTCTGGCTCCAAATAGAAAGTGAGGTGCATTAAGAACTAAATAAAGTGAACAGGCAACCTACAGAATGGAGAAATTTTAACATCACTTATCTGACAAAGGGCTAATATCCAGAACTGCAAAGAACTCAAACAAATTTACAAGAAAAAACAAACAACGCCATCGAAAAGTAGGCAAGCTATGAACAGACATTCTCAAAAGAAGACATTCATACAGCCAACAGACACATGAAAAAATGCTCGTCATCACTGGCCATCAGAGAAATGCAAATCAAAAACACAATGAGATACCATCTCACACCGTTAGAATGGCAATCATTAAAAAGTCAGGAACAAACAGGTGTGGAGAGGATGTGGAGAAATAGGAACACTTTTACACTGTGGTGGCATTGTAAAACTAGTTTCCACCATGTGGAAAACAGTGTGGCGATTCCAAGGATCCTAGAAGTAGAGTACCATATGATCCAGCCTCCCATTACTGGGTATATACCCAAAGATATAATCTGCTGCTATAAAAGACACCTGCACATGTATGTTTATTGCAGCACTATTCCAATAGCAAAGACTTGGAACAATCCAAATGGTCCATCAGTGACAGACTGGATTAAGAAAATGGCACATACACGCATGGAATACTATGAGCCACTAAAAAGGATGAGTGTTTGGTGCCCTTTGTGCTAGGGGAGCAGGGATGCAACGGAAACCATCATCTCAGCAAACTACCACCACAAAACAGAAGCAAACACTGCACTGTTCTCACTCATCAGGTGGACTGAACAATGAGATCACCTTGGCATGGGAAAGGGGGAAGCACCACACTGGGTAATTGTGGGAGGGGAAGGGCGGCGAGGTGGCATTGGGAGTTATACCTGATGTAAATGAACGAGTGAGTGGGTTGCTGATCGATTGATGGGTGCAGCCACACCAACATGGCACATGTCATACGTAGTAACAAAACCGCACAATTGTGCCCATGTACCCTAGAACTTCAAGGAGAGTTATAAAAAAAAAAAGAACTAAATAAAATGTCAGGACTCTTTTGTCAGAATTTTAATTCATGGCATGTGATCTAGAAATGAGCATGGAACACCTAAGTGGCCCCAAATACAAATGCTAAAATCAAATCAAGTAAAATCTCAATTCTCCCAAGCTAATGGAGGGAGATAGCGGCAAAATTCAAAATATTGACCAGTAGAGAATACATCTTTTGCTTTGGTATGTATTCTTCTTCTTTGTTTTTGTTTTTGTTTTTTTTTTAAATTGAAACGAAGTCTTGTATGTTGCCCAGGCTGGTCTTGAACTCCTAGGCTCAAGCAATCCTCCCACTTCAGCCTCCCAAAGTGCTGGGATTGTAGGCATGAGCCACCTGCCCAACCAGGTATGTATTATTCTTCCCAGAACGTTAACGTTTCGTTTTGTGGCCTCCTTCCAAGCCCTTATACATCCTGGAAGAGATGACAGGAACCCAGCAGGGAGCCGAAGACCCTGGACAATGTTAAACATTTTGCCTCCAAAAAGAAAATTTGGAAAAGGCCCATAGTTAAATCCCTTGACCATGAGCACATCAAGAATATTTTCCTCCTAAAATCATCCTGACCTGTAATGTTCTAATTGGAGAGGCAGAAATAAAGAGTGACCAGAAGAGATAAAAAGACAAACATTCCCAGCCCAGTGAACACAGCTGTCTGGGGGGAGGAGAGAAGAGGGCTGCTAAAGCATGGAGTGTTTCAGAGGGAGGAGGAGATGGGCACCCCCATTGCCAGGATCCCCCTGCCACCATCTGCCACTCACACAGCCCACACCCCACACCCCAGCTGTCAGTGCACACCTTGAGTTGTGCCCAGCAGAAGTGATGCTGACCTGCCCACTGCCTTCAGTCTAGGGGGGTTGACTGTTCTTATTTTACAGTTTAGGGAGGTTGATTGTTCTTTATTTTACAGATGGGGTGGCTGAAGCCAGGGACTTCGTGACCACCCCTGAAGGCAGGGTCTGAGCACCTGTCTAGGGCCCTGGTATTCTGGTATTGCCAGCACCTCCTTCAATAAGTCTCTCCCTATCCTTCAAGAAGTATCTCCCAGCTCTAGGTTCAGTGAAGGCCAGTTGACTTTGGGCTCAGTTAAGGGTTTTTCACAAACTCCCACTTGCCCCACTCCTGGGCCCTGCTTAGAGGACTGTTAGTGCCAGGAGCACTGGGCCTGGGAGAACCTGAGACTTAGAATCCTGCTCTGTGCCTGGTTCCCCCATATCCTCCATATGGGAAAGCTCAGACTTTGGGGGCTGGAACATCCCTCAGACAATCCCTGGGAAGAGGAGAGCAGCTTCCCTATAAGATTCTTCCCTAAGAGCTGCCTTTGTCTCTCTGCTTCTCCCACAGTGGAGGTGGGTTCAGAAATGGTATCTATGGGTGGAATTGTGAGGTGAGAGCCTTGAGGAATGAGGCCCCAGGGCCAGATTCCAAGGAAAGTTCTGACAGCAGAAGGGATGCCCTCCTACCTTGACTTTCTCCCCTGTCATTGTCTCCAGCTCACTTTCCTCCCCCACCGTGAACTCGTTTTGCATCACTTTGGACCCGGTGGTGATGGTGAACTTGAAGTGCTTCCCGTTCTGCACGATTTCCGTCACACTCTTGATATCCTTCCCCTTCTGGATGAGCTCTTCCGGCAAACCTGGTGGAAACCATCTGAGGTTTAGAGATGGGCAAAGGTGGGAGTTTCATGACTGTGGTAGGCAGATGAGAGAAATGTTATGGCATGGAGGGGCAGAGGAGGGCACTGTGTCTCCCAAGGGGCCACAGAAACTCACTGGGGACTTGTGAGCAGCATGGGCTGTGGCCTCAGGATGGAAAGGACAGTGGCCTGGCCTGGCCTGCTGCTATTTTGCCAGTCAATTTATAAAAAGGACACTCCTCTGGCCTGAAGAACTATTCCTCTTGTGAGCACCCTGGTTCTTGCTCACTCTCCTTCCTCATTCCCTCCTCCTTTGATGACTTTGCTCTTGGAGTGGGAGCATTTCATTCCCCATACCCTGGGTGACCAAAGAATTGATCTTCCAAGCTAGGTCCCTCCTGGGAGTGACAGGGGAGCTATCAATAATCATGCCAGGCCAACACACCCAAAGCAGCACTGTGCCAGGCAAGCCTCTGTGCAGAGGCTTGCAAGCCTCTGCAGTCAAGGCTCTGGAGGAGAACATGCCAGCAATCCCTTGCCCTGGCATAGAGCTTTGCCAATTTTAGAACTTGTCCACGCTGTTATACAAATTGAGGTTCACAAACATTATGTGGGTGGACAGTGAGCACAGAGGGTCCTGTTGCATAACGGAGAGATGCGAGACACAGAGGTAGTGTGAATTGCGTGCAGAAGATCCCTCTCCGGCAGCGCTGACGGTCCTCCTCTCCCTGCCCCTGCTGTCTTTGGCACCCTTCTCATTCTTGGCACCCTCCCTTGCCATGCTGCACCCTTTGCTTATAGGGCTCCCTCTGCCTGGAGCATGCTTCCTGCCCCCAGTCCCCTAGACACCTGTCTTCCAAGGCTCAGCCTGATCCTTCTCTTTACCTCCACTGAGCCATCCCTCCGTGCCCCCCATGAGCCACATCCTCCTGTACATGACCCTGGGAGGCACAGGGGTTAAAGCAGGGTCTCTGAGAATGAGTGCCTGCTTCCAGTCCTAACTTAAACACTTCCTACTTGCATGACCTTGCTTGTGATGACTAAATCTTTCTAGGCTTCAATTACATCAACTGTAAAGTGGGAAAATAACGGTACCCAGCTTAGTTTTATGGTGAGGAATAGATGGGGTATTGCATATTCCATGGTCAGCACAGTTGCCTGGCACAGTGAGTGCTCCATACACCTTAGGGAATGCCTTATTACCTTTATTTCTTCTCTTCTTTTCCCCGATAATATAATGCCTTATTACCTTTATTATCTGTCTCCTTGATATCTACCCAGCACAGTGCTCAGTGTGTGATCGGCCTTGAATCACTATTTGTTTGAAGAATGAATAAATGCAGGAACAGGATCACACAACGAAGTGCCAACGACATGGTCATCAATCCAGACCACACCCTAGTTCAGTGCTCTTTCCACTTGCCTATGGGATGGCCTTGTGCAGTGAGGACTCGCTGCAAATAACTCCAGAAGTCAGTAAAATGCCCCCTAGTTTGTGTATATAGCCTGAATCTCTCCCCCCATCTCAACATTTGGACCCTAAATAGCCACTGCTGGTAGGGCCAGACCCTCATTGATGTGACCCACAGCTTTGCCTTTCAGAGCAGCACTCACCCATTGCCTTCATGAAGGATTCAAAGTTTTCCTGGCTCTGCAGTTGGTACTTGCCGGAGAAACTCATGCTGGCGATAGAGCTCCCTCTTCACAAGTGACCTGCAGCTCTGCCGACCAGACTGTCCACTGTAGGCTGTTTTATAGGGGGCTCCTTTCCTTTCGAATAGCGGCCAGAGGTCAGCAGCTGTTGATTCCTTTATGGCCAGGTTCAAACATTAACTCCCGAGAGCAATGGTCAATGATAAAGAACAGGATGGGCACAGCAAAGGTTTGCTGCAATTCAGCAAACATTAATGAATATCAGTCAAGCAGGAAGCCCTATGGCCCTGGGAGCCTTTAAGTGACTCTCCACACCCCATGAAATGTGTGTGTATATGCATGTATGTGTATATATGCACACATGTGTGTATATATAGATGTGTGCATATGTGTTTGTACATCGGTGTTTATATATACATACGTGTATTATGTACATAAAGATGTGTGAATGTGCATATATGTAATACATACACATATACACATTATATACATAAGTGTTTATATATGTCTGTACACATGCACACACACGTGTGTGTGTGCATGTGTACACACACAGAAAAATTCCAGAGAATTCCTTTGAACTCAAAACCTCACCTTATTTACATAACCTTATGATCTCTTCTCATCCCCATTATTACACAAACTTAATTTGTAGAGTTGTCATCAGCTGCTAGTGCTATTTTGAATCCTGGGAATTCCTCCTTGATGATTATAGTCTCCTCCACAGGTCTTTTTGAGGTGTTAAAGCAGTTCTTGCTCAATGGCAGTTGTAAAACATTGGAACCAGGTGTGCAGAATTGAGACACATTTTATTAGGCAGAGACAAGGCAGGAGAAAGTGCCACCTGCTGACTTGCTCCAGCCCTGCTGAGAAGACAGGACAAGGGATCTGGGGTTATGTGTAGGAAACTGGTCTCGTAGGGTTATGTATACAACACTGGCCTTGGGGAGATGCCCCAACAGGGCTTCCAGTGGCCTTGGGATGTGCCAGTTTGTTGTGAAGCACAGAGAGGCGTGGTGCCCAGTGGGTGCACATGTCCCAGTTTCTGCCTCTGAGGCAGTTCTCGGCAAGTACCCCCTCACCCCCCCAGATTCTCTCCCTTCTTTGTCTGGACTTTGGCGTCAACCTTTTCACCCGGAGCCTCCGGCCTTCGTCCTGTGGTCCTCCTCTACTCTGTGGTTAGACAGATCATCCTGAAGCATAGACTGGGTTGGGCCACTGCTCCAGGCATGAGCCTCGGTGGTTCCCATCACTTCAGAGGCCACAGGTCCTGGATGGCCTGGTGTCACGTGCCACGTCACGATGGCCACCCCCAATAACACTTCCATTTCCCTATTATGAGTTCTAATTTTTGGCTTGGAAAATGACTCCCATTGCCTAAACTTATAGCAGGGCTGCCAGCCTTCAAAAGGCAACTCCAGTCTACCTTTCCATCCTTTTTCCTTCCTTCTCCCTAGGTCACAGTTCCAACCACAGGGCCAAGTGGACACATCAGGGGCGTCCATGCCACTCTCCATGCCCTCTGTGGTCTCCAGCATTTGGACATGTTGATCCAGCAAAGCACTTCAGAAGTTCTCTCCTCCACCCACAGTCCCAGTGCCAGGGTCCTTCTATGGCATCCCTGACAGGTGGTATTAAGGTGTACCCCGCCACAGAGAGCTCTCCACCTTTGGAGCGGTGTGGGCAGAGAGCGCTCACTAGTGGAGTGTCCTGCCATGTAGATTGTGGCACCAACAGACCTTTCCCTCCAGCACAGAGGGGTGCTCTGGCCCTCCCTGCTTGGCCCTCCTCTGACCGTGTCTAGGACACAGTGTCTAGGTGCCTCCCAGGCCAGGAATTGGGGCTGTCCCTGCAGCAAGCGAAGTGGGCCTGCATGCTGAGAACTTATGGCTTTTTATAATCACCACGACTACCTGAGCAGCGGGCAGGAAGGGGCAGGGTGGCTCAAAGAAGGATGGGCACACCCACAGTCCTTCTCTCATCTTGCTCTGAGCTTTGATTACGCATCTTCTAACATGTCTCATTGTAACGAAGGGGCCCTGGTCTCCAGGTGGGATGCTGATATTTCATTTTTGTATATGTAAGGAAGTAAAAAATCCATTTTCTCAAGAACTGGCATGAGAATTCCTCGCGTGCGTGCGTGCGTGCGTGTGTGTGTGTGCGTATAAATGACTGCCTGGGAGACAGAGTGTGTGAGACCCCAGACCTCAGACCCGTGTGTCAGTGACAGCCAAGCTGGTGAAGAGAAGGGCAGCTCCCTCATGCAGGAGACCAGGAGAGGCTGGGTGTGTCTTCCTGTCCCTCTCCCAGACTGCAGAAAGCAGAGAGAGGAATGTGGCAGGCAGGCAGGAGAGGCGCCACCAAGAGGGCGTGGGGTGATGGGTCACTGAGTTACCCCCACTGACCGCAAGGCAAGAAGAGCTCCAGGATGACACTGGCTTTGAAGCTGCTCATTTGCTGCAGTGAATCCCCATCCATCTTTCTTTAATTTCCACTCCAACTATTTCAAAAGCTTCAGTAAAATATAGTGCCTGAATCAACATGTGAGCAAGTGGAAAATGATGCAGGGCTGAGCTTTATTTCTGGATGGTTGTGATGAGGCTGAGATGGCACACGCAGAAGCAGTGCCAGGAAGTGCAGTGTCTGTGGGGCTGCATTCCCTACAGGGTTCCCCAGGTCCCTAGAAATCCTAGGAAGGGCTTTGGAGGAATTCAAGCTCATTTTGTTTAGATCCCATCTGGGTTACATGTGACACCTAAAGCCTGGGCCAATAGCTGGCATATGTCTGTCTAATGAGCACGTGAAGTTTCAGCCCAGGGCTAAATTCAGGTCTATACCTGAGACCCTATTCACCACCTACCTAAAGAGCTCTTCTAGCACTTGTCAAGGAAGGAATACGTAAACACTTGCTTAGATGGGGAACTTAGGAGCTTTGCAGCCTAAAATCAATGAAATAATCACCAGGGAAAATGACCGTGATAGAGTCACTACGATGCCCACCTCCCATCCCACCCATCAGCTGCTTCGTTTGGGAGAATCTGCTGCAAGCGCCCATGTTCTCTCATGCCCCCAGCTGCCTGCCTGGCATCCTACTCAGATAAAGGGATATGTGGCTTATACATCCACAACTAGGCCCTCTCCCGTTGATTGCAAATGTCAAGTATCACACCCCACACTGCTGCTTTCTGGGGTCGACAGAGGGGAGTGGGAAGGAGCATCATGAAAGTTTCTCCATAGAGCAAGTCAGCATCAAGCCTGGAGGCCTCAGGGGGAAGTATGGACCAGATGCGCCTTTCCTGGTGTCTGAGGAACAGCAGGACCCGTGAGCTGTCTCTTTGTGGACCCCTCTGCCTCGTGCTGCACTTCTTTCCTACCCTGTCCAGGCAACGCCTGCAGACTCAGAACAGCATTGGGAATGCAGCTGACCCAGAGGTTGGTTCAGGGCCTGGCACAACCAGTGAAGCCTTGACAGTTTCCCTGGCAGATGGGCAGCCTGACAAGTAAATCGAGCTGATCAACGCCGGGCCAGGACTCCCTCTCTCCCCCAGGTCTGAGATATGGCTATTCTTAGGCAACCCCCAATGACTTCCTTTTGTCATTTGTGTGTGTGTGTGTGTGTGTGAGTCTTGAGAGCACAGAGATTAGTAGCCCTTTCAAAATTTAATACTCATGAGTTTTCCATAAACTTAGAAGAGGGTAATGACATCTTCCACCCACTAGCTGAGCAAACACAAGAAGAGATAAGCTTAATTGCAATGACAAAGTTCAAGTGGCTTTCAAGAAATAAAAAAAAAGAGACTCCCATTCTGTGGGCACAGTTTTGGAGTGACCAAAGACACTGGCCCCACTCACTCCACACTAGACATCCCCTCTTCTCACATCCCTACTCAGATGGGCAGCGTGCAGGTGTGGGAAAGGAGGGGAGTCATCTCTTGGTGGCCAGGATATGATAGGTGTTCATTTTAGAACAAGCACCTTTGACTTTAGTGCCTGCAGTGCCAGCCTGCCCATTTCCTGGGTGTTTGAACATAGGAGGTGGCCTGAGAAGCCCATAATTCTGATACAGGCAGGGCTGCAGAGAAAGGACTTGGGTTTGGGCCCAGCTCTTCTTTATACCTGATGTTGAGCCTTGCTGAGCCTCTACTTGCTTATCTGTTAAGTGGTCATAACATTTTTGCCTCATGAAATAGTTGTGTAAAATAATCACAACCACAATGAGATACTATCGCCATCAGTCAGAATAGCTACTATTAAAAGTAAAAAAATAACATTCTGGCGATGTTGCAGAGAAAAGGAACACTTACAGACTACTGGTGGGAGTGTGAATTAATTCAGCCATTGTGGAAAGCAGTGTGGTGATTCCTCAAAGAACTTAAAACAGAATTACCATTTGACCCAGCAATCCCACTACTGGGTATATACCCAAAGGAAAATAAATTGTTCTACCATAAGGACGCATGCATGAGTATGTTCATTGCAGCACTACTCACAATAGCAAAGACATGGAATCAACCTAATGCCCACCAACAGTACACTGAATAAAGAAAGCGTGGTATATATACACTATGGAATACTGTGCAGTCATAAAAAAGAATGAGATCACGTCCTCTGCAGCAACGTGGATGGAGCTGAAGGCCATATCCTAAGCAAACGAACACAGGAACAGAAAATTAAATACTATGTGTTCTCACTTATAAGTGGGAGCTAAACAATGAGAACACAGGATACTAGTAGGAGAACAACAGACACTGGGGCGTAGTTGAGGGTGAGGGTGAGAAGAGGGAGAGGATCAGAAAAAATATCTATTGGGTCCTATGCTTACTACTTGGGTGATGAAATTATCTGTACACCAGACCCCTGCTACATGCATTTTACCTAAATAACAAACCTGCACATGTACCCCTGCATTTAAATAAAAGTTAAAAACATTTTTAAAAACTTTTAAGCGGTTATTGTAAAAATAAAAAAAATTTTTAAAAGAATTGTATAAACTGTCAAGTTCTTCAGAAATGCGACACTCATCTGACAGGGGATCGGAGCACTTTGCATTTGCATCTGTCAGATGTCCCAGAGGTATGACCAGAGAGGACCAATTTTTCAATCTCCTGGCTTGGGGACGAGCTTCCTTCCCATCTCT